TAAGACTAAAGAGGAATCCAACAGAGCTTTCCATTGGCCAAAGGGAGGTGAATCCAGCAGCAGTTTACTCTTGTTCAAATCCAAACCCAGGTCAAAAACTTGTAGAATTTAGACCAGGAGAGGCAGCAATCAGGTTTTGCCCTTGATTAGACTACAATCGAAGTACTGAAAGCTTTCAGGTCTCCAGATTGTCCCTGAGATCTTGGAATAACACAACACCCTAACATCCCCAAAAATCAGCAACAGGACCAGCCTAGACCTTCCCTCCAGAAGTACCACAGAGCGCAGCTCTAACATCAAGTATGAAGTCAGAAGTAAGCTGAAAGAATGAGCAAACAGAAAAAGAGTACTACTCTAAAATGCCAATATGGTGGCAGGGAAGCTCCAGACACAAACCCATAAGCAAATTACTCCAAAACACTACAAGCATGTCTTAAGAGCCTGGGCAAAAAAGTCACCTAAAGTCACCTAGAATTCTTAAAGGAGCACATTAAGAAAAAACTGGAACAAAGAATTGGAAAAGGAATTGTGTTGTTGTTTGTCCTTCATTCTTTAAGAGGACCATAACATCAGGGAGGTGATGCCATGACTTACAAATGAACTGGATTTAAGTGAGGGAGGTCTGTGCAAAGTCACTAGCCTTACTTTCTCCTCTGGGCCATCAAAGAGATTTAACAGCTTGATAAAAGATATAAAATCTTGCTCAAGGAAGTAACTCCTTGAAAACTAGGATACACCAAATAGAAGCCAATGACTATGATAAGAAGAAATATTAAAACAAAGAGAACTTTAAAAACAGAAAAAAACGTAAGGAAAAAAGAATTAAACTGAAAAACAGAAGGAAAAGAAAATATTTAAGAATTATTGGACTTTCTGAAATCCATGACCCCAAAAAAAGAGCCTAGACATCCTCTTTGAAGAAACCTTAAAAGAAAACTGACCAGATTGTTTAGAACCAGAAGGCAAAGTAAAAATAGAAAGAATCTATTGGTCATTTGATGAAGGAAATCCCAAAATGAAACTCCCAGGAATGTCACCCCAAAATCAAGTTTCTGGAACAAAGAAAAAATACTGCAAGCACACAGAAAGAAAGAATTCAAGTACTGAGGAGCCACACACAGTCAGGATCACACATGATTTGGCAGCCACCACTATAAAGGATAAATTAGAATATAAAATTCCAGAAGGCAAGGATATGGCTTTACTTTGAAACTCAAACACAAGAGTGAAGAGAAATACAAAAAAGTAAATATGAACAAACAACAATAAAGTACCAATCAAGAATAAACTGCTTATATTCAGATATGAGGAGATGACACATTACGTGCCTTCAGAATTCTTTCATCATTACAGGTCACACAAGAAATACAATTAGACAAGGCCTGGGAATAGTTCTGTTAGGACTCGATGAGCTTAAGAAAATAATGGAGAAGGGAAGAGGAATACACAGAAGGTGGCAGGAAAGGAAAGGAAGGTTAGGGAAAATTATCTCACATAAACAGGGTATGCAAGTAGACATCCATACACATAAGGAGGATATTGGCTGACACTTGAACACACTTTCATTTGAAGAAATACATTTCACTCAACAGCAAAATAGAAGGGAAAGAGAAGAAGTGGGAGGGAGAATTTGAGGAAGAGAAGATTAAGAAAGGGAACAGTCCTAAGCAAAACAAACTAAGGATGGACAAAAATAATTTATAGGTCTTTAAGGTGGCAAAAAATGGGAATGAGGGGATGCCCGTAAGTTGGGCAATGGATGAGCAAGTACATAATTACAAAAGAATACTAATGTGCTGATTTCTTATCAGCATAATAAGCAGTTCCAGAAGACTAATGATAAAATATGTTAACCACCTTATGAAAAGAAGGCAAAGGACTTAAAGGAAGAATGAGATTTTTTTTGGACATAGCCAATATGAACATTTTAATTTATTTTTTAAGTTTTTAATGAGTTTTGTTTTTATTGTGTTCTCAATTGGGAGGAAAGGAACATCTTGAGGAAGTGAATGTGTGTATTTTCTTTCAATCCTTTTATAAAAATGCCATAGGTGGCATTTTTAATTACTAATGTTTTCCTTTTTTTTCTGTTTTTGGACTAAATAAATAGGTACAGAGTGATTACTTTAGGTTGTCTTCTCAAATAGTAACTAAAAGATAAACCTTAGAAGAGCACTTATTTCTGCCAACACTTTCTTACACATCAAATTCACAGTCAAAGATATGACTTTCTGAAGACTAGGAAGCCGGTAAGATAGTTATAGTATGGTATAAGTGACTTTTAAGCTGGTCTAGCCATAGAGGATAACCCCAGGAGAAAATGCTTTTCTGAAAGGCTTAATTAGTTGCTGATGGAAGTCTTCATAGAAGCCATGGGTAGAACTAAGCACAATGCCTCATACATAGTAGTCCTAAATAATTATGTTCTGTAGCAGCCAAAGTGGGAGCAAAAACAGCACATATGATGGCTTAGGACAGATAACTTCAGAAAAGGAACTGAGTGGAACAAGATAGTTTCTAAGTCAATATTTACCCATGTTATTTGGAAACAAATGCCACCATTATGAAGTGAATTTCAATTAGAAATATTCCTCCATTTGTAATCGCTGTTGTTGTCATCAATACAGATAATAATATGTGCCTGATGTTTTCACTTACTAAGAGACAACAATATCTCTAAATCACTCTAAGATATACATCCCATGTACCACCTATAGGACAATGTCTCTGTCTTACCAAAAGACACTCATGTACATACCAATATCTCTTATGGTCCTAATGATGATATAAACAATTTCCTACTAAACTATTTAAGACAATTCAGTCACTAGACCAGTTAGGACTTATGCTGTCCGTCATTCTATGTAATCTTGGGAATGTACACGATGTCAAAAAATATCAGAAGATCAACAGTCAGGGAAATGCTCCCACCAGAGAACTGTATGCTTCTTTTTCCATCTCTAATAATCTGTAGCTGTTTTCAATTTTCACCAGTAATAGGCCTTTAGGACAGGCTTGCTCAGGACTAGTTCTCATCAGGATGAGTATGGTGATTTAATTTCTTCATCTTGCTGCTGGTGTAAGCTCTCTGTTCACCGAGTCTTCTTTCAGCTCCAGTGGCCTCTCTTCATGGAGTTGAGAATTCCTACCTTGGTGTGTCAACTGGTATCTGTGTCCAATTAGTTTCTTTTTGCTTATCTGGCTTCTAACTCCATTTCTGCCCTCATCACCATCACCAGCTCCATTTTGCAAATTTCATATTGGCTTTGTTTCCTGAGCTCCAGTTCAGTGCCCTCATCTCATCTGACATGATAACACACATCCATTCCAATGAAGGAGAGAACATTCTAGAGCTTGATCCAAAATAACAATTGATTTCTCTTTACCTAATGAGAAGGCCTGAATATAAGGTCTTAAAAGTCTCAGTGGAAGTTTCAGTGTAGTTCAAACTCCAAGAAATATAGGCTGAATTTGATTACAACCAATCTAAGTTGGCAAAGCAATAAAAGCAAATTCACTTTGCCTAGGATATATGAAGGGCACTTTCTCATGAGAAAGTATGCCCTACCAAAAGCAGACACTGTCACTTAATTCAAAATTAAATGGTAGTTTAAACTGCACAGTAGACTCAAATAGCTTAATGGGTATTTATAAACTATTACTTGTATCTGAGGTCTTATAGCAAAATGCCATTACCAAGGGTGGTGGTTTTTTGCCTCTAGGATGAACTTGCAGTGACTAAGATCTTTGCCCTCTTCTCCTTTGCCAAAACTTAGCAATAAAATGGGCATCCAAAAGATATTATGAAAATATGAGAATCCTCTTAAAGATGAAATTGTAGATTAAACATTTAGAAATGGAAGGGAACTTCAAGGTCATCTCATCCAATCCCCCTGTTTTACAGTTGAAGACTAAGGCCCTGAGGCCTTGCCCAACATTACATAGTAACTGATAGATGTAAGATTTTAATTTAAGGCCTCTGACTCTGGTTCTCACTATGGAATGTCTCAGAGCAGAAAATTTATATTACTTATAGACTCTCTGGTTTATGATATCCATGCTATGGGAAGAAAGATATGGTGGTTCTCAAGTATATTTGCTATGGCAAATCTGGAAACAAAGTGTTATTTCTTGGATATTTTTGAAACTCTTTAATAAACTTCAGACTTCTAAAACTTTCAGGATAAATAGTTTTGTAGATTTCCTTCAAGCTGTCTTTTCTGAAGAAGACTTATCTTAGCTTGAACATTTTAGAGTTCTCAGGTAAATGTGAATCTTCTTTGAATATCTTCATACCACTTTAATGAAAATTAACAAGTAAGTTCTCATTTTAAAAAAATAGTCTGCATCTTGGAATTAAAGACAGAAGTTAAATTTCAGTAGATTTGCTCCTTTTAATGTTATTCATGCTTTAAGATGTAGGAAATAACTCTCTTTAATACAAGCATTTTCCACAGAAAGCACAAGACTGTTGAGTCTCTTTCTACAAATACCATTTCTTAGACTGATAAATTCTTGGAGCAATTTGTTCAAGGACGTACTTTTCCTGAAGAGAACATTTTAGGGGCAAACAGAGAAACAGTTTTCAATCTTTGCAAGAAACTTTTATTTTTTTCTCTCACAGTGAAATTCTGATTTGGACAATGCTATTTCTATTAAATACATCAAAAACATGTTCTTCACTGCCTCTTTTCAAAATAAAACATTAAAATGTGTGGCATAGAAGGCACTGTTGGGAGAGACTTCTCTAGGAAAAACTTGTATAATATTCTTTCATTAAAAGAGACAAATTTAATACTTATTAATTTTGACTCATAATGTTATGCTTGCTTTTGGTTGAAAACCATAGGCCCTAAAATCTTGATCCATAAAAATGAATACTGCATAGAAACTCTTATAAATGTTCATGTATTGTTGTCACAAGTTCTAAATTTTTACCCCTAATTACTGATACCAACCACAAAATCTGAGAAGAAAAAAGAAAAAAAAACTGAACTCACCAATCACAATGGAAGACTCACAGTGGTAGTAGCCATTGCTTTGCTTTTCCTTCAGCATGGAACAAAGGTCTATTCGGTACAATGATTCTTCTCCAAATTTGTGGTCTACAAATTTTTCATAGAGTTCAGGGTCTATTTTTTTCACTCCCTTGAAACAGCAAAACAAAATCACATTATTTAGTCATTTCATCAGGCAGCCAGATCATACATAGATACACACCCACACACACACATATGTATACATTATACACATATTATGAATACACACATATATAAAATATTCTTGACATAATGAATATTTTACAACTTCCTATTGCTACTTCAAGATGAAAAACAAAAATATAGATATATTTATAAACATGTACATATGAGGGTGGGGGGTGGGGCAGTGAATCCTGCCTGCTTAAAAGTTGTACAACAGAAGCATTTATCATTACTACTGAATCTTGGGCGTGGGAAAACATGCAGATTTTCACATTCCTAAAACTCTCATAAACACTAACATATATCAAGTTGAAATCTAGTGTTGTATGTTAATGATAGAATATTAACCTTCAATTGTAGTGGCCAGATACTTAAGTTTTTTTTTTTTAAATGTGCATATTAGCATCCTGCAATAATTTTTCTTCTAGGGAAATATACATAATCTTAAATATTTTAGTTAAGACTATTACCATAAGATTTTTGAAGATAATTTGAATGTATTTTATTCAAAGGGCAGCTAAGTGGCTCAGTGGATAGAGTGCCAGGCCTAGAGTCTGGAAGACTCATCTTTCTGAGTTCAAATCCAGATTCAGACACTTAATAGACATGTAACCCCATTGGACAAGTCACTTAACCCTGTTTGCCTCAGTTTCCTCATCTGTAAAATAACCTGGACAAGAAAACTGCAATCCACTCTAGTATCTTTGCTAAGAAAACCTCAAACTCGTGAAGAGTTGGACACGACTGAAAAATGACTGAACAAAAAAATTTTATTGAAATATAAGGAAAAACTCTCAAATTCAGTTTTCCTCCAAATCATCTTATTTTCACTGTCTTAGACTGGGAGAGTAAGCTGTTAGAAAGTTTATGCAGGGCATTTTTGGCACTTCTGAAATACTACACAACATGAGGGAAAATAGCTCTCTCTATACTCTGGCACTACAGCAACTACTCAACTATTTGGATCCCATAGTCCCAAAACAGTATGTGTCTAGAAACAGGCTGAACAAAAAGATAGCACTCTGAAGGATGGGTTTACTGATCTCCCTGGGATGTCGCATGGGGATTTTCCAACTGCACATTTTCTGTATTCACAGATGTTGCTGAGTTACAAAATGACAAGTTTGTCTCTAGGTGGAAGTCAGCTGAGTCTGCAGCCATAGCCACAAAATAATCTGGGAAGAGAGTTTGCATGGGGCTACTTTTCCCTCTTCAATATGGCACTGTAGCACCCTCCAGAGCTCAAGAGGAGAACAACTGGTTCATTACTAAATGCCTATATGTGTTGATCTGAATCGTCCTTGAATGAGTTGAAGTTTTTTAAAAAAAACATTTAGAAGCAGCCTAACAGCTGCTAATGAGGAAACTAAGATTTGTAAGCAGTCACAATATTTTCTTGAGCTCACGGGATCTCCAGATGATAAGAGTTAAAGAAAGGCACAGCATCGGTACAGAGATGGGCTGTGGGAGTTTGGATCAATCTGGGTATGTGCTTCTACAGCCCATTAACTCCTCCCCTTAGAGGTGCCCCGGCTTTCCCTTGCCCCTTACTACCCATTCCAATGTTCACCAGACTCTTTATTAATACCAAGAAATTCCAGGCTGTTGAGCATGAGAGAGAAATATTGGGATTTAGGTTTACTTGTATTTTACTTGGTTATATTATGTTTCCATTTGGCTAAGTTTAAATACTAAAAAGGCCAGAATTCAATTCCTATGATTTTTATATTTTTAGAAGTCAAGCTAAATGGATGAGAGATAATGTGGCATAACGAATAAAGAGCTGACCTGGGAAGTCAAGAAGACCTGGGCTTAAGTTCCATCTCTGACATTTACTGGCTGAGTGACCCTAAACAAACCACTTAACTTCTCAATACCTACAGACCACTCCCTAAAACTACTTCACAGAGAAGAAACAGGGCTACTTTGGTAGAGGACATCCCTCACAGGAAGCTCCCTACCTGAATAAAATAACAAGTCCAGTTAAAAAAAATCAGGCATAAATATCTTTTCACTAACAAATCCAACAAATAAATGAAATAGATTTGTCATCATTTATCTAACAATTTGTTTTCACTCAGTTTGGACTCAGCACCTTGGTACTTCATGTGTTATATAAGGAAATGGAAATGTCATTTAAGAAAATAAAATTCGGAAAAGCAGATATAGCAAACCAAATACATAAGAGAGGGAAAACCACGCTAGAAGCAATGTGGTCTTGAGAAAACTGGGGGATGTTTCAGCGAGGGGGGAAACACCAAAAAATGGAATTATTCACAAAGTCTTATTATTTCTATCTCTACCCTATCACCCACAACTGTTCTCTCTGTTTATATAGTCATCACTACCTCAGTCTAGGCCCTTATCATCTCTCACTTGGACTACTAGGCTTTTCTCTCCATCTACAGTAGGGGTTTCAAATTCCAATAGAAACAGAGGCTATTAAATTATACAGAAGGATCCTTATGGGCCACATGTTGAATTAGAATACATATTAACATTATCTATGATTTATTGGATTTTTATTCATTTTGTTAAATATTTCCCCATTACATTTTAATCTGGTTTGGGCTGCACTTGGGAGTGTTGTAGGTCACATGTGGTCAAATGGCTACACGTTTGACATTTCTGCCCGACAGTGTCTTTCTTCGTGACCTCAGCACCTGTATGTGCAGTTATCATCTCTATGCAGATGACATCCAGATATACATACCTAGTCTCAGTTTCTTTCTTGGATTTTAGTTCTACAACACCAATTGCCTATTAGACTTTTTGAACCTGATGTCTCACAGACATCTCAAACTCAAAGGGTCAAAACCAGAACTTATTCTCCCCCCAAAACCTACATCTTCTAAACTACCAATTTTTTCCAAGAGTGCCACTATCCTTCCAATCACCCAGTTTTGTGATATCAGTCATCCTAATTCCTCATTCTCATTTGTCTGACATATCTAACCCATTACCAAGTCTTGTTGATTCTACCTATACATCTCTCTTAGTTACATCTCCTTTTCTCTGCTTAAACAGTTATCATGCACTTGGATTATTGCAATAGACTCCTAATTGACCACCCTGTCTCAAATCTCTCCCCTTTCCAATTAGTCCTTTGTAGTTAGAAAGCTATAAAATTGGTATTCCCAAATGACAGGTCTCATTACATCACTCCCCTACTCAAACTCCAGTGACTCTACATTACCCCAGCACCAAATACAAACTCCTCTTCTGGACACTTTATAACCGAGTTTCAACTACCTATCTTGATATCCTGTGAATCCCTATAGCCTACTTTAAAAAAATCCTTAAAAGGTAGGAATACAAGAACTATTTAATGCCACTTTTTATAAATCCATGTATTTTTAAAAGCAGAACATTACATTTAAGTGCCAGATGTCAGGAAGTACTTGAGGCAGGAATATTTAGGTTTGAATTCCACCTTAAACACTGTGTTACCTTGGGCAAGTTACTTAAACCTCCTTAAGTCTCAGTTTTCTCATCTGTAAAATAAAGATACTTGAACCCATCTCTCAGAATTGTGAGGATGAGACTGGATAATGGTGTTTTGTAAAAACACCATTTTTGTAGAGTGTTTTGTTAGCCTTAAGACACCATATAAATGTCAGCTTTATCATCATCAGTATCTTCATCATCATCAGTTTTGTGAAGAGTCAAGTCACATATTATAATGAAGTATCAATACCTCTGGGAGACACAAAGGGCCAACACATTTTCAAACCTTGTCTAAGATCAACAAATGGCATATCCCTTTTCTGTTTCCCAGGATAACACTCAACAGATATTAGAAATGTAAGGCTGAAACAATAGAGAGGTTAGGGCTAGAAATAAACATTTTAAGAGACATCTACATATAAGTTAAAATCATGGGAACAAATGAAATGAGGGAGGAAGCATAGAGGTAAAAAAAAAGAGAAGGAACTACAGAAAAGAACTTTATGGGAAAGCCCATATTTCTGAGCCAGAACAAGGAAGAAGAGACACCAAAGGAGACTGAGGAAAGGGGTGTACAAGACATACGAAGGGAATCCGGAACACAGAACATTCAAATAAGATTTTCAAAAAAGAAAGGGTGATCAATAGTGTCAAATATAACAAAAAGCAAGGAAAGTAAGAATGGAGAAAAAAACGCACTGAGATAAGTGACTGGGGGGCCACACCTTAAGAAGGTAGTTTCTGGTGAGTGCCAGGGACAGAGATTTAATTACAAATAGTTAAGAAATGAGTGGGTAATGAAGTGGACACATTAAGAGGAAAGCCATTATTTCCATACTTCCATATTCAGCTCATACTGAGCTTCGGATATGGTATAATGTCCAGAAGAAAAGATGTCAACCTCAGGTCTTTCTTTAGGCTCTGAATTCTCCATTTTAAAATAAATCAGAAAGAATAAAGAATAGGATAGCCTCATCACAGTGATTCAAATCTGTTTCACTTATTAAACCAATTTTTGTGAAAAGTGGGCACCAATATTTTCAACCAACTTTCAACATAAATCACATAGATATTGCATTACTATGGAATGAAATGGTACGATTACTGAAACCATAATTTACGGTCAAGACTTGGGGCTGCATGGTTTAAGGAGAAATAAGGTTTCTGGAGATGCTAAAGCACATTTACATATAAGAAAATATTTGCAATAATTGTCTAAGATTAGAACAGTATTTACATTGTCTAAAGCATAGTACATGTATAGTACAGATACACAAAATAATATTAGCATGTACTTAAATTCTATTAGTATGAGCTTTATTTTCAGGTTATGTTCATATTTTGAGATACATTTCTTTCACAGAAAACTGTGCCCAAACAAAGAATGTCCCAAAAGTCTTAGTGCATGTTTAAGTCACTAAGGCTTAAACTCTATATAAGTTTCACTATCCAACTTCAGTAGTAATTTTTCAGTTAGCAGATAAGTCTAGGAAAATA